ATAGTTAATTTTTTTTCCAATTGTCCCATCAGTAACGCGTGCAATCGCCCTATAGTCCAGCGAAAAAATCATTGCAATAAAATCAAAAATAAAAAAGTTATGACATGTCAAAATTGTCAAAAAAATTTAGGTGCCGGTTTTTTTTGTCGGTGAGTGTATTAGTGGGATTTGTTTATGTCTCACATTCCTGCTTGAAGTGGCCGAGATGTTTAAAATATAGAATTAGGGAAGAAAGGGGCAGAAAAATATAGACCGTCATCCCATACGCATCTTAAAAAGTTTGTGAGATATATATTATAATATATATATAGTTATAGTTTTGTGATTGTTACCGATTTTCTGCTATAATTAGGTGTGTACACTTTTATAAATTGTAATTTACGCTAGTGATGATAAAAACTACCTGTATTGGGTTTTCTTAATATATTTTTGCTTATAATTTTAACATCATTATTTAATTTGCATCTTGGTCTATGTCGTTTATCATTGCTAGTTTATTGGGTCCTTATCATTTTAATGTGTGTAAATCGCGAGTGATTTTTTGTAATAAGTTTTATTGTATCACTATATCATTAATTGGGTTTAATATCTTGGGATCGTGCATACACTGAGTTCCAAACTCAAGCTTTAAGTTGTCGCGTTCATTAAATACACTGAATTACATTTATCTTAAATTTTAACATTTTGCCTTTATTTTGAGTTACACTGACCTTTGTATAAATAACGTTGTTTCCTTTTGTATAACTTTTTATAACTTTTTATTTAACTGACATGTATTTTATTGTATATGAAAGCTTTTAATAATTATATTATTATTATCATATTGGTATTACATGGGTAAGGTTTATAAAATGCTATTGTTATTATTATTATTTGAAATATTTGATAATGACTTTAACGTTACTACTTATATATGATAAAAATCTCTTTATATTATTATCCAGCGCGACACTTTCTGGTGGTTAGAGTTTGGGCCATGTTTACATGTTTCTTGATATGACTCTCTCCTATTTATTATTTTATTGTATTTAATTTATATTTTACACAATTTTATTTTATTGCATATTGTTGAATTTATTTGTGTCTGTATTTGTATTTGTGTTTTCGTTTGGAGAGTGCTCATGCATGAATATTTGAACATGGGGCATGGGGCATTATTTCGAAAGGATTTTTAGAAAAATATTGTTTTTATGTTATTACCTATATAAACTCTGTGTGCAGAATTGTTTGTATATTTTCGCAATACTTTTGTCTTGTTCTGGACTTGTAAGAATATTTGAACAAATTGTGATATAGCGACAGTGTCGCTGCGACACTTTAGTGAGATAGCACCACTTCGCAGAGTATGCAATTGTTCCATAGTGTGGTTATTGGCTACGGTTAAATATCTGCACTAGATTATATTTTTCCATGTTCCCCCCCCTTTTAAAAGCATTTGAAATCTCTCTATCAGAAATATGTCGTTGCTGTAGTTTATTTATATAAAATCGTATCCTCGTTCAATATTTCGAAGATGCGTGGTAAGGTAAACAAATAGTACAACTCTTCGTCATAAAATGACGATCTCTCATAACTACTTTACCTGAGTATAAAATGTTTTGAATATTGATAAAAACACCCAAATTATATGAAATATGTTTATCTGCTTTTCATGTTATTTTATTCACTTGTTATTTATATAGTATTTTTGTGATTATGATCCATACCTATGTCTATGTTTTGTTTTGTATTTTATTTTTATTTAAACTGTGCAAGTCGCCAGGGTTTTTATGGTCCCTTTTCCCTGTGCTCTGGCTCAACGGGCCACTCCTTTGTCTTTGTTTAAATTAAATCAGGGGTTTAAAATTAAATACTTGTGTTTCATTAAACCTGACCAATTTCAAAATATCGTTATTATCAATGTACGTAAATACACAACGTCCTAATTTTTATAAAGTAGGTAAGTAAATTATCTAGACGATCACGAATATGCCAAAATAAGTATTTCAGTATACTTAAAGAATCGGGTTACAAAAATACATAGTGTACCTTACATACAAATAACAAATAAGTACTTATATAACATCAGAAATTACCTTTGTTCGGGCCTTTCTTGACGAGTTGGGGGGAGTATGAAACAAGGATGAACAGGGAAAGCTTACCCATGAAACCTCCTACGGTAATACTTTTAAAACTTCCTGTATTTATTTTCAAAAAGTTAGTGGGCGCCAAACTTGACAAAAAATTGTTTTTGTATATTTTGATTTTTAACTAAGTGTTAATATCAAAATATAAAAAAGACAATTTCTGTTAAGTTTGGCGCCCACTAACTTTTTGGAACTAAATACAGGAAGTTTTAAAAGTTGTAATTTTTTTTATTGATATTTTTCTATAGCATTTTGATATTGATATTTCTCTATGCGTTTTGTTAATTTTTTCTTAAATAGGCAAACTGTCCAACAATCTTAAAAAATATTTAATTTATAATGTAATTTTTGAAAAAGTCTAAGATTTTATAAACCAAAACAGTTAAAAAAATCAAATATTATTTTTATATCATTTTAGATATCTGCATTTTCCATAGTTTGATGATTTTTTATAGTAATTTTCTATAAACTATAGGAAAATACAGATATAAAAACAATTTGAGTCTATTATTGGATTAAATATTTTTTAAAGATTGTTGGACAGTTTGCTATTTAAGAATAAATTAACAAAACGCGCAGAGAAATATTATAAATACTATATAAAAAATATTAATAATTTCAAAGCTTCCTGTATTTAGTTCCAAAAAGTTAGTGGGCGCCAAACTTACCAAAAATGTATAAAAATATACAAAAACAAACATTTATTGTCAACTAAATACAGGAAGTTTTGAAATTATTAAGATTTTTTATTGAAATTTTTTATATAGCATTAATATTAGCAGCGCCGTCTACTTGAAAAAAGCCAAATTAATTAAAAAGCCACACAAACTTTTGCAGCTTTAGTTAAGACATTTTTGGATAGATGGCGCTGCAAACAATATTTTGTAGGTAGGCAATACATGTACAAAAATGTTTTAACTGGGTTGCCTACCTACAAAATATTATTAGCATCGCCATCTATCCAAGTATGGCTGAACTAAAGTATCAAATATTTTGGTAGCAAATTATTAAATTCAATAATTCTTTTATAGATAGAGCGGCTTACTTAAATTTTAATTTATTTATTTATTATTTATTTATTTAAATTTATTTCCTCTTCTTTATTGTTGTTGTTTATTTTATTTCGTTGTAAAATTAAATAACCTTAAATTGTTTGTTTAGATATTGAAAAGGAGCCTAGGCGAGCTTAGACAGTTGAGCCACACCGAACCAAAGCGAGCCTGGAGGACCCAATCTGAGCTTAGACGAAGACCAGCCTGTTTATTAAATAAATGTTACCTATGTTTACTTCAATAAAATAAATTATTTTAAAATGTATGCATTTTTATTTACACTTCTGCATTTTTTGCAGAGCAATAAATTTGAATCTTTAATTCAAAACATTCCATTATTTTTATTTTTCCCTTATTTACGATACGATAGAAATCTGGCAACATTGCAAAATGGTGTAGTGTGTCAATTTGGCAACGTTGCAAAATGGCGGACGATGCAAATTTAAATTAGTAATAACGGCCATTGTGCGATGTTGCCAGATCGACAATGATAATTATAAAAATTTGGCAACGTATCAAAATGCTGGACGAAGTAAATTGACCATATGCAAGGAATGCGGTCGATGTTGCCAATGGTAAAAAAATAAAATTCCCTGTTGGGAACATTCAATTATATCACGTTGGCTACATTGAAAATTTGAATTTCCCGCACAAACTAAATTAATTTCCATCTTTTTTTTTTTAATAATAAATAATAATAATTCCCACATTTGAAATTCGCACCTTAATTTATTATACAACATTGGAACTACCTTCTTTATCTCTGGGAACTACTAGAATGTATGTCAGTGTGTGCGGGAAATTCAAAATTTCAGTGTAGCCAACGTAATATAATTGAATGTTCTTAATAGGGAATTTTATTTTTTTACCATTGGCAACATTGACCGCATTCCTTGCATATGGTCAATTGACCATATGCAAGGAATGCGGTCGATGTTGCCAATGGTAAAAAAATAAAATTCTCTATTGGGAATATTGAATTATATTACGTTGGCTACATTGAAAATTTGAATTTACCGGACAAACTAAATTAATTTCCATCTTTTTTTTTTAATAATAATAAATAATAATAATTCCCACATTTGAAATTCGCACCTTTATTTATTATACAACATTGGAACTACCTTCTTTTTCTCTGGGAACTACTAGAATGTATGTCAGTTTGTGCGGGAAATTCAAAATTTCAGTGTAGCCAACGTAATATAATTGAATGTTCCCAATAGGGAATTTTATTTTTTTACCATTGGCAACATCGACCGCATTCCTTGCATATGGTCAATTGTACCTATTTCAGATTTTATATTAGTCGCAGAAAAGCTAGGAGGTATAGCTCTGGATACAATGCGATGTTGCAAGATTTCTTAAAAATTACAGATCAAGGTAATTTCTTAAAAATTTGAACTGTTTGGTAAAATTTTGCGATTTTTTGGATTTTGTATTTGGATCGCAGAAAAGCGAGGAGGTATATCTTTTGATACAATGCAATGTTGCAAGATTTCTTAAAATATTTTATTCTTTAAAATGTGCGCCTTTTAATTAAATAGGTATAAAATACCGCTCAAATTAAGTTAGTGATGTGCTACATTTTTTTTTTAAACGGATTTTTTTTTACTTTTTTTTACTTTTGAAGATATTCCCTGTTTCAGATTTTTTAAATTAAATTAAATTAAAAACTCGGTAAATTATGGGAATTTTACAAGTTTGCATACGGGGTCGTAAATAGGAACCTATAATTTTATAATTGGTGGTTGTGGTATTTTGGTAGGGTAGTTTCTGCTATCTAGGCTGTAAGCATTTCTGACTAATGGGAAATAATATAAAGTGTTTTAAATTTCTTTATTTATATAAAATAATAGGATCTGTACATTATATTACACAGTACAAAATATAATTAAAAATATAAATAGTTAAAGATACGGTTTAAATAGTTAAATGTGACTATTACAACAAATGTAGGTACAAAAACAGTTTCACAAGTTATAATCAGGCAAAGTTCGTACGTACACTAACTCATCATTAAAGGCGATTTAGTTTGTTTTTTTGTTTAATTTGCGTATTTTGAAAAGCCGAGGTCTAAAATATAAATGGGAAAATAGGAATAAAAATATGTGTCCACTTCGCACAGTCCACTCTAGCAACATTAACAGTAACGCGTTCACTACTATCTTTGGTAAATAACTCACTTGGGTGATATGTTAACACTGAGTGGTGGCCGCTCCGTTGGTGGGACAGCCGAAGCCGTTGGCGGTGGGAAAAGAGATCCTCGTCGTCGGAATTTCCTGTTCGGAATCCTCCTCCTCCTCCTCCTCCTCCTTCTCCTCGGACTCCGAGTCGTTTTCGCTGGACCGCAACGGAGTGGTTTGGTCGTCCAAAATCGACGACGAGGGTAACGGATGAGAGGTCCTTGCCTCGATGCCTGCCGCGCTGTGGTAGAACGAAACCTGCGGGAACACGGGCGAAGCGTCCTCCAGCAGCAACGAGCACAGCTTCAAGAACGACGGCCTTTCGCTGGCCAGAGGGTGCCAACACATCCGCATCAAGCCGTACAGTTTGTCCGGGCAGTTCTCCGGCCGCTCCATCACGCCTCCATCGATAACATAACGAAGAACCTGAAAATCAATCGAATCATCCCATTTGCCGTTCCATGCCGGAGACAAACACAAACCTGATCGTTGGCTAATCCTTGATAAGGTTGGGACGCCAGAGTGGCCATCTCCCATAACACCACTCCGTAACTCCACGTGTCGCTGTGGCTGCTGAAAACGCCGTCTCTAAGACTCTCAGGCGCCATCCACCTCACAGGCAGCAAACCTACAACGGGATGAGATGAGATGAGATAAATGAAAACGCGGTGCATTAGGTACCTTTGGTGCCCTTCCTATAGTAGTCAGTCTCATAAACGTCTCTTGTCATTCCGAAATCTCCGATCTTCACCGTCAAATTTTCCGAGACCATGCAGTTTCTCGCCGCCAAATCTCGATGTACGTACTTCTTGGCGGACAAGTAAGCCATGCCGTCCGATATCTCGATGGCCATCTGGTAGATCTGCTTCAACGTGGGCGGTTGCTTTCGGTGGTTCGGATTGGAGTTGTCGGAGTCGAGCCGGTGCGAGCGCAAATAGCTCTTCAGATCCTCGTTGGTCATCAGCTCCATGATGACCAGCGTCGGCTGACCTTGAGACACGACGCCCAACAGACGGACCACGTGCGCCGTATCGAAAGCCTTCATCACCGACGCTTCGTTCAGGAACTCCATCCTTTCGCTGCAATTTCATCCACAACAATTAAACTGCGCTCTAAAACGCCTTTATATGGAACTAAAAACTGCGCACCACTCAATGTGTCGCGACCAAAAAGTTCGTCCTTTTTCAAAACGACATATCTTTTTTGTTTCTTGAACGATTTTATTTTGGTCTGTGATTTCTGCTAGCCCCATCCTCTGGCTATTCATGCTATAGATATGAAGCTCACGGTTCTTCAAGTAAATTTCGTACAGGGTGATATGTAAAACGGTCAAAAATTTCAATAACTTCATCCAAGCCCCGTTTGTAAAAAAATAATTTTTTTCTCGTTTTTACTTTGAAATAATGAAGTATTATGTCTTACCTTGAAAAGGTTTTAAATTTTTTCGTATTGGAATCTTAGCAAAGAAAATATGATTTTTTTTAAAAAGAGTACATTTAAGGCTTTTTGGTAGGCAATACACTCAGTCTTTTTAAGAACAAGGAGATAAGATGGTGAAAGATTGTTCCATTATTTTCAGAGGGGCCTAAGCAAAGACAACTTTTTTAAAATGACATTTTGGTGAAAATTTGCGAAAACCAATCCTGAACCGATATTTACGTTATTGACATGTTTTCTTTATAATTTTGACCTCCTGATTGTAATTCAGTTGTCAAATTTAAGTTTCAGATAAAACCAAAATCACTAAGAATCAAAATTCGAAAACAATTCCCGGCTGTTAAATTGCCTACAAAAAAGCCTTGAATGTACTCTTTTAGAAAAGAAAACCATATTTTCGTTGCAACGATTCCAATTCAAAGTAAAAACGAGAAAAAAATTATTTTTTTACAAACGGGGCTTCGATGAAGTTATTGAAAATTTTCACCGTTTAACATATCACCCTGTAAGAAATTTACTTGAAGAACCTTGAGCTTCATATCTATATCATGATTTGCCAGAAGATAGGGCTAGGAGACATCATAGACCAAAATAAAATCGTTCAAGAAACAAAAAAGTTATGTCGTTTTGAAAAAGAACGAACTTTTTGGTCGCGACACATTGAGTGGTGCGCAGTTTATTTAATAACATGCAATTGTGCTATATTGAAAAAAGTAAAGCTTTTATAGAGAAAAGTTAAATATTATACTACTATGTACATAGTTTTGGCAATTATCGTTTATTGCAAAAACAAAAAAAGAGTTTTGGCAATTTATCGTATGTTGCAAAAACCCATAGAGTTATACTTATTGCAACACTTGAATTTTGAAAAAACTTAAAATTTACTTAAAATAAGTATTGCATTCGACTTTTGGAAATATACGAATGTTGTAAAAAGTATGGCAGACTGGTCTAGGGAAAACAAAAAACACTAGATTTAAGGATTTTAAGGTGTTGTCTCTGGTAAGACGGTGTAGACCGTATTTTTGTTAGTATACTCTAAAAATTTTGTACAAATGACCCCTTTTTGTTTATTTTCCTGAAAAGTGGTCATTTTTGACGACTTTGAAGCGTTACTGTTCGTTTGATTTGTACAACATTTTCAGGGTATACTAACAAAAATACGGTCCTTCACAGCATATTTTTATTCACTTAAAAAAAATTCCCTATAAAATTTTTTTTAGCGTTTTTTATTATTAAATAAAAGGGCTTTAAGGATATTTTCTCGAAAAACCCTAGAACATGTTAACTGAAATATAAGTTAAAGTATTTTTCTCCAAGTCTGGGGGAACAGTTGGTAACTTTTTTCAAACCAATTCTCACTTCAAATTCCCTAGAGACGCTGGTTTGTTTTTTAAGTAATTTGTGTGTTTTTTCTTTGTATTCCAAATTCTATTACATAATATATATTTTAATGTCGTATGGAAGAAGTTTACTACCATTATAGATACTTCACATATCCATTACAAATTATTTAAATAACCATTATCTTTAACACTCGATATCAGAACCTTTAGCGCGTAAAAATAGGTTTATAAGCAACTTTTTTTATGAATGTGTATAATTTTAAGTTAAATTAGGATTCATAGCTACATAACCAATAATTATAATTATTGGATAAAGTATTTGATTTAAAAAACATATACCTATTTACGAATTTGAATGTTTTGCATATCGAAAAAAACGTTTTTTTACAATATCACTAAAAAAACCTTAATTGAGCAAAATGGACATTTTTTCATTTTGTCGATCAGTTTAATATGTAAATCGTGATCAGACAAGTGAGTTTGCCAAATCGAAAACTGCTAACAAGATAGGACGTTGAAAAATAACAAATTCAAATGGTAAACAAAACCGGTTGTGCAACAGTGTTGCAAATCAATAGAGAGAGGCAATGTTAAAAAAAACACAAACAGCATTTGTCTGCATTTGTAAAATCAAACAGGTTTTTCCGAATTAAATTAAATTGTAATGTTTGTTCGGATTCACGAAATAATAATAATAATATATCTTTATTGCCCAACAGTAAAACCATTACAGGACATTCATATGTATATATACAATACCTAATAATAATAAAAAAAATGTAACAGGTACATGTGCATATTAGAAGTGGTGCAATTCAATAAGAGTTTGTACAATGACACTTAAAGTATTAAAATTAATATCACAGTGTTTAGAAATCTTGTTGAAATTTTGACACATATAGTAAATCGGTGATTTATTCGCAATATTGAACCGACAGATTTTTGTACCCTTAATTAATTTGAATGCAACTAGGTATTAATTTTTTATTTTAGTAGTTGATCCTCAATTTCCTTAAATAGGTAAGTATACTATAGATTTAAAATAATAGTACAAATGTTCCGCAGATTCTAGCAAATTGAAAAGAAAACTGAAAAATTGCTACTCATTTACGATTCGTTTTATAAAAAGTAACGTTCTTTAATATGCATCAGGGGCGAAATTTAAGAAACAGTTGTGTTTTGAGATTTTTGCCGTTGTATTTAACCAGAATTAGTTTTATTTGTACACATTTTTATGTAATTAAATTAAATTATATAATTAATTTTATGTATCACATTAAATTAATTCGGCATATGGCATGTTTAATTTATCAACGTTTGTCTACTTTTGCGCCAATAGATGAGATATTTGTTCGTATTTTACTATGCATATACTGCAGTTGTTATGTAAGACAACATTTATTGTATAATTTTATGTATACACATAAAATTAAATCTTGAATTTTTATTAGGTAAAGTCATAATTTTAATTGTAAAATAAATTATTTTTAAGTGCACACATAAAATTAATTTTTAAATTAAAATCATTCTTGTCTTACAAATGAGAAATTGCAAGATAAAAATTAATACAATAGAATAAAATTGTTTCAAAATGTTGTTTAAAAAAAAATTGTTTAACAATGTTTTAAGTCTCATAATTCAAGTATCCAAATTTCAAACAAAAAAATAAAGAACCTCATAAGAAATAAAAATGGACCAAGTTTAAATAATCAAATATAAATTCTACAAACAAAATAATATGTAAAATTTTAAAAAATATATTTTTCGGGTAAAATATTTAAATGTAACAAAAAAATGCGTATCAAATTAAAATGTATCATAATCAGAGCTGGGAGTATCTTGAAAAAAAGATACTTAAAAGTAACTTAGATACTTAAAGTATCTATGATACTTTATCTTAGATATTTTTATATTGGACAGAAAGTACCTTTAACTTAGTTACTTTGGAGAAGTAACTTGTATCTTAAAAAGTATCTAAGTTACTTGGTAAAGTAACTAAGATACATTCAAGTAACTTAGATCATTTCAAATAACTATGCCTAGACATAATAATAATTCGCTACTTTTCCAATCTGTTTCCATTAAATCTGAATTAAATTTACGCTTGACATAATTTTATTTAATTATTATTATGCCTGACAATAAAAATTACGTCGATTGTCTGCCCCACTGTGCGAAACCTTGAGGTCGAAAACTATCGATAGATAGTTCATTAGTCGGCCATATAACTACCGATAGTTATCGATAGCTTTTGATGTTTTTTTTTTAAATGTTCATTCATAGTTATTGTGGTGCCCAAGCACGTTTTGTGATAAAATTGTATTTTGTCTTTTTTCTTATTTTCCAACAATAAGTATTGCTTTTACTTATTAGTAAAACAAATGGTAAGCGCAATTATTCTGTTATACTATTTTTGGCTCGCAGAAGACTAATACTGTAGGTTTATTTGTCCTTTTTCAAGTGTATATTCCATAATTTAAAAAAAAAACGATATTTACATACAAGTTACAAAATTGTTAAAACACATTTTACGACAATTGTTTACCTGTTGGTGGCATGTTCGTTGACAGTTTTGACGGCACACCTGACGTAGGCTTTTCCTCGTATGTCACTGGCTTCGCCCTCCCACACCATTCCAAAGCTGCCTTGTCCGAGTTCCCTAATCAGCTTGATTTTCTCCCTGGGGACCTCCCATTCGTCTTGCACATACTTGCTGGACACGTATTCAGGGTTGACATACGGGTTGAGGATTTTAGCTTTGGTGTCTTTTACGTGGCGACGCCACACTATCCACGTTATGAGGCCGGCCTAAAATGCGGAGGGAGGATTAGCTGCCACCTAAAAATACGTCGGTGGGTACTTACAATTAGCAGGAATAAAATCAGGAAAACGAAGATGTAGACTATGCTGCCGGAAGACTCTTCTACAAGGAAATATACTTTTTCAGATTGCGAAACCTCGCCAGCTGACGACCTGACTTTGATCGTCAAACTGTAGTTCCCTTGCGGTAAATTTTCTCTTAACGTGTAAACCATTGTCCTATCAAACTTCTTTAATTTCTTGTGTGTCACGCAATCGCGATACGAACCCGTACTTGCCTGAAAAAAACACAAACAATGGAAATACTAGCTCTGAGTTGCTAGTGAGGAGAGGAGTTCCCCAGGGATCAATTCTGGGGCCACTTCTCTTCTTAATGTATATTAATGATTTGCCAGGAGCGATTTCTTCAAGTAAAGAAAACAAATCAGGTTAAATAAGTATAAAAACCAAAGAACTAGAATGTGCAATGAATTCGTGATTCAATGCCAATGAAATATTTTAAAATGAGACAAAAACTCAAAAAATTGAATTTAAGCAACAGTCGAATAAAAAAAGCTGAAGTAAATTTTTGGGCATTTATATGGATAATTCTTTAAACTGGCAATCTTATATAAACTATCTAGCAAGCTTCGTTTTAAAGACTATAAAAAAACTCTGTGATACCTATTCCTATGATACCAGAGGTAAAGACCTAACAGAGCTGGGAAAGTTACTTCTGAAAAGTATCTAGTTACTTTTCTAAGATACTTTAAACAAAATAACTTAGTTACCTTGGGTAACTAGATACTTCGAGTTAAAAGTTTCTTTACTTAAAAGATACTTTAGAAAGTATCTAAGATACTATCCAAAAGAATCTAAGATACTATATGAAAGTTAAGATACTTTTGAGTAACTAAGATACCTTTAAGTAATTAAGATACTTTTGAGTAACTAAGTTACTTTTAAGTATGAATAATAGATTTATGAAAATTATATACTATAAAATTATGAAAATTCAACAAGTTGTAGGTTAGGTAATTACTTTGAATCATTCTGAAATTCCCCCAATTTTCTCTAAGAAAGTTATCTAAGTTACACTAAAAAGTATCTAAGTTACTTTAAAAAGTATTTTAGTTACTTTTAAGTATCTAAGTTACTTGAATGTATCTTAGTTACTTTACCAAGTAACTTTAATACTTTTTTAGATACAAGTTACAAAGTAACTAAGTTAAAGATATTTTCTCTTCAATATAAAAGTATCTTAGATACTTTTAAGTATCTTTTTTATCAAGACTTAAAAAAAGAAATAACCTTGGCATATCACTTTTTAATAGTCTTCCTATACACTTCAATTAAGTGCATTTAAATCAAAAGTAAAGAAAATTCTGTTTTGTAACTGTTTATATTCAATATCAGATTTTTATAATGTTGGTCATAAATTGTAAATCAATAGTTTTAACCGTGAATTGTAAATATATCTTAAATTAATTTTAAATCTAGTTTTGAGATTGTTATACATAAAAGAGTTTTTATCATTAAAACAATTTTGATCTTAATTGTGACGAGTCCTGAACAGAGCTGGGAGTATCTTGAAAAATAAGATACTTAAAAGTAACTTAGATACTTAAAGTAACTTAGATACTTTTTATATTGGACAGAAAGTATCTTTAACTTAGTTACTTTGGAAAAGTATCTTGTAACTTGTATCTTAAAAAGTATCTAAGTTACTCGGTAAAGTAACTAAGATACATTCAAGTAACTTAGATGCTTTAAAGTAACTAAGATACTTTTTAAAGTAACCAAGATACTTTTCAGTGTAACTTAGATACTTTCTTAGAGAAAATTGAGGGAATTCCAGAATGATTCAAAGTAATTACCTAAACTACAACTTGTTGAATTTTTATAATTTTATAGTTTTTATTCAAACTTAAAATTAACTTAGTTACTCAAAAGTATCTTAGATACTTTTTAAAGTATCTTGTAACTAAAAATACTTTTAACTTAAAGTATCTAGTTAGCAGAGGTAACTAAGTTATTTTGTTTAAAGTGTCTTAGAAAAGTAACTAGATACTTTTCAGAAGTAACTTTCCCAGCTCTGGTCCTGAATGTATTTTCTAAATAAAGAAAAGTACTTACGACTTGCGAGTCCTTCTTGATCCGATAGTATTCGATGGAGTAGGAATAAATAACGCCGTTGGGATGTTCCGGCTGATCCCACTTCAGCGTGACAGTATCTTCAGTTTGATTGCTGACTCTTAGATTTTTAATATTGTCCGCATCGGTTTTCTTTAAAGTTCTGGACGTCGTCACGCTGGATAAGCTGCATAAGCTTTCAGTGTCGTTTTCGATCGCTTCGCGACAAGCCTGCACTGTGATATCGTAGTTGGTGTAGTGGTGCAGCTTGTTTATGTAAAACTCGCTTTTTCCGTACACGTTGAAGCTAAACGACTCCCATATCTCCGTGCCGTTTTCCGTAACGTTGTTAATTTTGTTGACGGTATTTTTCGGGTTTTCGGTGGTGTTCGGAAAGCTTTTGTCTACGTCGCGTTTTGACCTAGAATGAGGGCTAAACAAAACAATTCAATAATTAGCCACCTATTTAAATCATCTAAATACCTTTTATCCTCGAAAAGCGCATTGTGTATGTCGTGCTCAAACTTTACTTGCTGAACGATTTCCTTGAAAGTTTTTTGCGATCCTTCGATCAACAAGTCCTCATTCAGGTCCCGCTTTCGTCTCGTTTGCGCCAGTCTTTTTATGTACACGATATTCTGCAGTTCGTTCTCGAATTTAATTCTGGCGATTTCCTTAGTCTCGTCTATGGTTTTCGATTTAGTCGGTTTACTGCTGTCTGGGCACACACAAGTATCGTTGTTCAGTTTCGTAGTTTTTGCCGTTTGGGTTTCCTTGGGAACCACCTTTATTTCGGTGGGAGCTAAAAAGAATATTTTCTTCTATCATCTTGAATTAAAGTGACGATAAACTTACGATCTTCACAGTAATCTCGATCTTTCGAATCCATATTTTCATTTGCGTTCTTCTTCCCAGCAACAATATAATACGTTATATTTCCGTTGGGTTGATGAGGTGGTGTCCAGGTTATTTTAAGCGAATCATAATTGTAACTGACTGCCTGCACTATTTGTGGCGGAGTTGGCACTACAATTGACATTATTGGGTAGGATTTGAAAAATCTATTATTCTTTTTTTTCTACTTATGATACGTAGATATCATTGTACAAAAAAAGGATAGTATTATTAAACAAGTTTATACTCTTAAATCTTAAATAAAGTATTGACTTACTTGATGGCAAGGTTCTAAAATACTTAATTTTACTCTGCGCACCATTTCTTTCAGTTGCTACAGTGTAAGTTTTAACGTAATAAGCATATTGGGTGTATGGTTTCAATTTAAGTAATGGGTGTGTGATTTTTTCATCGTTTTTGGCTACATCATCAACTCTCCAACTAATAAAAAATAACATAATTTAGAACTGAATGGATGATTGGTTTTTCATTTAAAACGACTATTTTTTGTTTTTCACCGAAACTCCATAATATTGTTAAAAAAATCCCTCAAAGTTTGGGCCTTTAATTTTGATTTTACGTACTTCCTTTTTCATTTTGAATTTTTCCCATTTAAAAAGCATGTATAACTTTGTTTAAATTTCAATATCTTTGCCGGGTAAAAAAAAGTGATTGAAAGTACAGTTAATTTTTTTTTATTTGGAGTATTAAATACTCTGACACTGTCAAATTGACAGTAATATTTTTTATTGTTAATTTACTAGTTAATTATTATATAATATCGATATAAAAAGATAACTATGCCAAAAATAATATCAGATTCTAAAGTAAAAGAACTTTTAAGGGCAAAACTTAATTTCAATGAAGTTATGCCAAATGCCTCAATGGCAAAAAAGTACATCGCCTTACATTTTTAGTAAAAAAGTAACGTTTTTGGTTTTACAAATATGAAATCACACATTATTTTCAGCTAAGCAGATCAAAAATTTTTGAAATTTAAAAAAATAAGGGGAAAATAAAAAAAAACAAAAAATAAAAATTATTTGCTGTTAGGTTCAACCTTTTTGTGAAAAATCTAGTAGTTAATTTTCCTATCTTTGAAGCATCTATTTGGTTTCAAAAAGATAAGCAATAATCTTAATTCTTCTTTCAATTTGCAAGTTACTGATCATGAATAGTCCTGGACAATATATATATTATAATTATTATTAGACAACTACAAATATTAACTTCCAGTGGCTTTAACAAAATACCCATTCACCATTGGAGTCCAATGATTGGACAACATTCACATGTGTTCACATAACATTTTAATTTCTTTTATATACATTCTTTTCAACGCGAAGATTATTATCCGCTAGGAATACCTTGTCTCTCCTGGGCCGTAATCACCTATATTTAACTACTTTTTTTATGATTTTACTCATCTACGCACCACCAAAGCCAAATTAATTGCATTTTTAACTACGAATTTTGACAACTCAACTTGACTCAACTTGACAACCGTTCAATGTAACCTACAATAATTTAAACATAACCACAATTATATTATAATTATATTTATAACTAGTTTAGTTTGTTTTAATCAATGCAACCAATTTTGTTGCGGAAATAATTCAACAACTTTTTTATTATAAATAAATATTAATTTTTTCCTTTTTTAATGTGTTAAATAGGATTTATTACGAATAATTAACTATATTTTAATCAAAAATTTTAAAGGTTTTTAATTTTTAAATGCGTTTTTAGATGTTCATAGAGCGTCAATTGCGGAAATAACCCAATAATATTTTTATTGCAAAAAAAATATTATTTTTTTTATTTTTTACTTTGTTAAATAAGGCTTAACTATATTTTAATTAAAAAAACATAACAGTTTTTATTTTTTTTTTTAATGCGTTTTAGATGGTCCTACAGCATTAATTGAGGAAATAATCAAAAAACTTTTTTATTGCAAAGAAATATTTATTTTTTTATTTTTTACTGTTTTAAATAAGAATTAATAGGTATAATAAACTATATTTTAAATTATTTTAGATGTTCGCGGTAAAACGATTGCGAAAATAATTCAATAACTTTTTTATTGTAAATTAATACATGTTTTTTTAACTCTCTTAAGCAGACTTTAAGAAATAAATAAACATAATTTAAATTTTAACATTTATTCTATTAATAATTTCTTAACTTCTTCAAGTGTGAATTGATTTTCATCCAAATTTGGAAATCTTCTCTTTAAATTTTCGGAAACTTACGTCTTTGTCACTATTAAAAAATAGTTCTGTAAAAAACTAAAAAAACGCACTACTCACTACAGTACTCATTTTGAAAAATCACAAAATGCAATAGTCTAAGTTAAATTTGCTTTCGCTATATACAGGGTGAGTTTTAAGTTGACGCGTTCATTTTAACAGTGTGTAGAAATCAGCTAGACAAATAAATATTTTAAGTAACTTTTTTATCAAAACTCAAAAATAAAAAAGTTATAGCCCATCAAAGTTTAATTAAATTTTAAGCCGGTCCTGGCTATTGTTAACAAAAAACATAACCATAAAAGTATCAAAATAAACAATGCAAAATGTCATATTTGACAACAAACATAACCATTTAAATCAAATTAACATTTTGCAATAAAAACTACTTAAGTTGCAGCATTTGCATTTTGACGACACTCTCCATAAATTAGTAACATTTCCACTAATTCATTATTGCTATAATTATGAACCATTTTTAACAATAATTGAGGCACAAAAAAACTGACATTTTTCATTGCTAAATGTCATTTTGATTTAAATGGTTATGTTTGTTGTCATAGATGACATTTTGCATTGTTTATTTTGTTATTTTTATTTTTATGGTTATGTTTTTTGTTAACAATAGCCAGGACCGGCTCAAAATTTAATTAAACTTGGAAGGCCTATAACTCTCTTATTTTTGAGTTTTGATAAAAAAGTTACTTAAAATATTTATTTGTTTATCTGATTTCTACACGCTGTTAAAAGGAACGCGTCAACTTAAAACTCACCCTGTATGTATGTATGTAAAATATTATTACCTTATAAATGAGCGAATAATGTTTTACCTAATAGTTTTTACCTGTAAAGGTGCAAAACAAGATTATTAATTAATTTATAAAATATTTTTTCCTTAAGATACCTACATAGCAAATGGTAAAAATTCAAAATGAAAAAGGAAGTACTTAAAATCAAAACTAAGGGATCAAACTTTAAGGGAATTTTGTTTTAGATGTTTTGAACAATTTCGGTAATAAAACAAAAAATAGTCGTTTTAAATGAAACACCCTAGTGTTTGAAAATAGTGTTAAAAAAATAGGTAACTTACTCATCTACTCCACAAGCGTCTCGGCCATCGTAGACCGTGACATTTCTGTAGGGGGCTTCGATGCTGTAAACAATATAACCTAAAAGCTGCCTCTCGTCGCCATCAAGTTCAAACGGTCGCCACACTAGCACCACACCTTTGCTAGTTATCAGAGTGACGTTAACCTTTAGCTCGCTCACGTTGCAAGCGATCTTATCGCCGTTGGAATTTTTCGCCACTTCCAGATCGCTGAACGGCTGAAGTCCCGTTTTGTTTCTCAGCATCTCGATCTTGTTTATGCACAGTTTCGGATTGAAGTGGAAAAACAGCGAGCCGCGCTCGATCCGGAACGAACGGTTAGACCAGTCTTCCCACAGTTCCTGCAAGTTCTGATTGTCCAGCACGACGAACACGTACCTAAAATGTACAACGAGTCCGTTATTTACCAACTTGTTTTTTTTCGCAGCGCCCCCTAAATTTATAGTTTATGACCTACAAAAAATTATCAGACTCACATAAGCCCTTAATATTCATATTAAACCCGATAAATTTCCCATTTAAATAACACGGGGTTTCGGCACGTTTTGAATGATGATGAAAGACACATATTTTTATAGTAAATTGAACTAGTGATGGGTCGTGATTTTGATAACGTGATTTTGGAACGTTATTTTTAAACGATGTGAAACATGGAACAGAACGAACGTCGCTAACGTCGGAACTGTTTAAAGGCGCAGTTACCTCGTTTCGTTTCTTGTTCGACTTTCGCGGCGCGCCGACTTGAGCTGAACTTTATCGGTGCATATAACCAATATAACGAGGCGGGTGGAATCGTTCCGCTGGAACGGTGCATAAAAAATTAAGTTTGTTAGGTAGGGTAGATGGAATCCAATATACCTAATATTGTACAATTATTAAACTATAATACCAAAAGTTACTAAGAAGGTTTTTTCTTACTAGAGAATCTTTATTAGAGATTAGTAATGGGTCGTGATTTTGATAACGTGATTTTGGGACGTTATTTTTAAATCACGTTCCGGAACGTTCCTAAATATTTCGGAACGATGTGACAGCGGATCGAACTGAATGGAAACAGAGAATCCGACCATCGAATGAGTGAACGGAGCGAGTGGGAAGGGAACGACGTGAAACATGGAACAGAACGAACGTCGCTAACGTCGGAACTGTTTAAAGGCGCAGTTACCTCGTTTCGTTTCTTGTTCGACTTTCGCGGCGCGCCGACTTGAGCTGAACTTTATCGGTGCATATAACCAATATAACGAGGCGGGTGGAATCGTTCCGCTGGAACGGTGCATAAAAAATTAAGTTTGTTAGGTAGGGTAGATGGAATCCAATATACCTAATGTTGTACAATTATTAAACTATAATACCAAAAGTTACTAAGAAGGTTTTTTCTTACTAGAGAATCTTTATTAGAGATAGACAAAAACATTCAAGGAATCAACAGGTTTTTGTGTATTAAAGGGGTCCCTAGACGTTTAAAAAATATTTTGCTCAATATAACTGCATAAAAAATTGATTATTGTCCCTAGGCAATCAAACAATGTAAATAAATATAAATATTGTCAACACAATGTTAACTAAATTGCTTAATACAACATATTGTGCAATAATATTGATAGTGTAGGGACCTCCTTAAACCTTATAGTGTATAGCAAAAGTTACAATATTTCGTTTTGGTATTAAATTTGTTATGGTGCGGTCAATAGAACTGAGAGGCGCGCCAGACAAAATGTAGCCCAGCAACGTCGTGTCGTGGATTCCACTCGCATGTATTGTGAAATCATTTACCCTACGTTCCGAAATCACGTGATTTTGGTAGGTACGTGATTTTTTAGGAACGGAACGGTTTGGTACGTTCCGGATTGGGAACCGTTTTTTCCATCACTAAATTGAACGCTGTACAAAAAAGCTCTCCTATGATTTTTCGATAAATTCACTAGCTTAAAAGTTATTTAAGGTTTAAGTTGAACTTATAGTAATTTTTTAGATTGTAATTGTTTATTTTTGAAAATATGTCATTTTTATTGTATTATCCCCACCCCCATTCACGAATACCAATTGAATGGGGTTACTACTAAGGCCTAGGTTGCGGAGGATTCCGGATTGTACTTAGTTTGGGGTCAGTTCAATGTCCTCCAAAAACCCTTCCTAAACTGGACGTATGGCCCGACCCGGCTGACAAAAATTCCGGGAGCGGCCTTAACCTTTGACACTGTCTTCCACGACCTCCTAGGGTGGATCTACCAGCCGGCGTAAAAACTTCGGATCCAACAAACACAGGTAATGCTGTGATTTGGCGGGATACGCAGGAGAACGAAAAGGGGGTAAAATATCCCCGGGAGATCGTGGAGGATAATATATCTGGGGCCTGCCATACGTTCCCATACTCATACTCATACTCATACTCATGTCATTTTTATTGTATTATTGAAAAAGTAAAAATTATTAAAAAAAAATAAGTGAAGATTATTGACAAGAGATTCCGATAAATTTAAATTTTTTTATTACATTAAACGAATCTGGTACTAGTTTTACTCAATTTTAGTACAATTACTTTTTTTACATAATTTTTTTTATTTCTGTGAAATTCTACAAATAAAATATTATAAAATGAAAAATTTTTCCTTCAGTACATATAATGACGTAGAAATTCCTTTAAAAATTATTTTTACGAAAAAATAAAACTCGTAGTTACGCATACGTTGTCTTGAGTATGAGATGCAGACATTTTCGCTACACCAATTATCCTTCACATTGACAAGTTGTGGCTTTACGGCGTTTTAGTCACGGGCTGAAGTTAGCAACAGGTTTTTAGTCACGGGCTGAAGTTAGTTGACAGTTGTCAAAAGTCATACAATCGTTAAAATAAAGTGCCTTTCTTGTAAAATAATACATACTAAATGTGAAAATTATTTTATTATCTCAATACAAAAATAAAAAAGTATTAAATAGTTTCTCAAAGCCAATATTTGAAAAGTTTATATGAACATTGTACTGACCTTTTAATTTCGCCGGCAGTAAACTATAACTTAAATTCGGGCACGGACTCCACTGTAAAGTGCTCATAAAACATTTTATCTACTCCTACATTGAAGAGCTGTGACTTTATGGCGTTTTATTCACGGGCTGAAGTTAACAACAGTGGCTTTTGGGCATTTTAGTCACGGGCTGAAGTTAGCTTTATTATAAATTGTGAAAAAGTGAGGTAAAATTTCGATTTATAACCTTTATAATCTGTGTTTATAAAATATAAAAATTTGAAATTTGACGGTGATACGCAGTTTTCCCTATTGTTTCATAGATGGCGCTCTATACAAATATTTTATTTAGATCATTTTAAGATAATAATAAGTATTTGTCGTAGAAAAAGTATAGTATGCACCTCGTTTATAAACTTTTCTCTACAAAAAAATTAAATGTAAAACGTGCCGAAATCCCATGTTATTTAAATGGGAAATGTATCGTCTTTGTGGCAGGGTTTAATATAAATATTAAGGGCTTGAGTCTGATAATTTTTTTAGGTCATAAACTAAAAATTTGCGAAAAAAAGAAGTTTGTAAATAACGGAATAATAATAATAATATTGATCTCTTACTTGGAACTCTCCAGTGATTCGCCTTTAATGCGCTTCAAACTTTTAAAAAAGTTCAACGACACCAACGGAAACGACCGGACGATTTTTAGGTATCCATGTATTTCCTCTATCATACCCAGATTTTCTTCCAGTTGATTTACAACGTTACCTGTTGAAGAAAAAATAATACAATTTTAAAAATGCAAATTCTATTCTTCACTCACTGCCAGCTCTAATCTGAATTTCCAAAGATCCTTTTATCACAGTGCAACCTTTTAACTGCAGGGCCACTGTGATACTATCCACATTTATTCCTGGGCATTCTTTTCTGCAGCGACCTAAAAATATTGTTTACGAAATTTCAAAAACTTGACATTTAGGTATTCACCTTGACAGGGTATGCAAGTGTGATTTTCGTAGTCGTTGGTGTATTCGGGGGAGCAGTGCAAAATGCAGGAGTCGTTGAATACTTTGAACGGTTTGTTGGGAAAATCGCTTTCGTTATTCGGATAAAGGTCTGGCGGCTTGGCCATCTCCACGCATTCCCGGAATGTTACGCATCTACCCAAATACTGAAACGAATCAGGCATTAGGCTGTTTACTATTTTTATAAATGGCCAATACGAGCGACCAAGATTCGTATCCGCATACGTATTCGTATTCGTATACGAATACGTACTCGTATACGTATTCGTATACGTATTCGTATACGTATTCGTATACGTATTCGTATACGTATTCGTATACGTATTCGTATACGTATTCGTATACGTATTCGTATACGTATACTTATAAGGAGACGCGTAATAAATGTGCAATAGGGTGCCCGTTATTTACCAACTTGTTTTTTTGCAGCGCCCCTTATATTTTTAGTTTGTGATCTAAAAAAGTTTATCAGACTCATATAAGCCATTAATATTCATATTAAACCCTGTCACAAAGACGATACATTTTCCATTTAAATAACATTGGGTTTCGGCATGTTTTACATTTAATCTTTTTCCTTTTGTGCAAGTTAATATACTGCGATGGGAGTCACATATTTTATTTTTTAATTTTGTATAGGAAATTGAACGCTGTACTAAAAAGCTCTCCTATGATTTTACGATAAATTCACTGGGGTATAGTAATAATAATAATAATAATAATATTTATTGATCCAAAAGACAATTAATTATTGTATAGGACAAGTCAGATTATAATTACATATAATATAATATTATTTATTTTGTGTAAACATACTTTTTAGCTAATTTATCTGCATAAAAGCATTTTTTATTAACATTTTTTTTAAAAGGAATTTAAATGTATTAAAGGTTTTAGCATCTTTTATGTATTGTGGGATGTTATTATACAATTTTATGCCAGAAAAGAATGGTGATTTACCAGATAATTTTAAATTACGTTTTGGTATACTGAGCATACTATCACTTCTGGTGGTTAAAAATTATTTAAGGTTAAAGTTGAACTCAAAATTATCATTATTTTTCTGAAAATGAATTGTTAATTTTAGTTACGAGTTTTATTAGGCACGAACAAAGCTTGCATGCGAGTGTTTAATAAAAACAAGTGTTTAGATAAGTTTATCGACGAACACAAAGAAGAATTTAAAGTCAATTTTATTTGTTAAACATTTAACATTTGTCAAATGTCAACGGAATTAACCTCACTTTTCTCTAATTTATTAAAAAGCTAACTTCAGCCCGTGACTAAAACGCCATAAAGTCACAGCTCGTCAATGCAGAAGTAGATAAATACTTTGACTTATTTTAAAAGGATAATTGGTGTAGCGGAAATGTCTGCATCTCAAGACGTAAGCGTAACTACGAAAAAATTACTATAAGTTTAACTTTAACCTTAAATAACTTTTAAACCAGTAAATTTATCGAAAAATCATAAGAGAGCTTGTATTTTTCATTTAAAATACTTATTACTTGTACTTACAAACCAAATTCAATGTACTCGTAAAAAATACTCGTGGAATTCACGAGTAATATATACGAGTATTTCCGTTTATTATATCGATGACTTTTTGCCAAAATATCGTAAGCATCAAAACATTTTGTTTGGAAGTCTGTTTTAAATTATATAATATAATATATTAAAGCCTATAGGTTTTATAACAAGTATATAGGTAAAATTATAAACTATTTAAGAATTGTTATTTTTATTTATTATTTTATGTACCTAATGTTTAAAATAAATAGATTTATAATAGTATATTTAAGAACTAATGTATGACATGAGTTCTTTATGCTATTTTATATATATTGCAAAAATTCTTAAACCTTATATTTAATTAAGTCGAATTTTACTTTAGATAGTTGGTAACATAGTCATTGGTTTGAAGGGTTAATGTCAAAATCGATTATTTACAATAAGCGGCTGTTAATGTTAAAGTAGAAAAAAAGGATTTTCTTTGGTGTTAAACAAAATTTATTGCCAGAGAAGTCTCGTAAGTACTAAAAAAATCATAAAAATATTATAACCAATATGCAAAGTATTATTTTACTAGTATACTGTTTAAAGTAGCCAACCTATAAAATCAAAATTTTGGGTGGGGTAAAGTACCTCATTACAACACCGAAAGCGGGGTTTCAATGAAGTCATTATGAACGCAAAATAGATTGTATCAATTATATTAACTAACATTTTTTTTTCAAAAGTACTCGTACTCTTTACGCGTGTTTTCACGATTATACTCGTAACCGTAACCTCTCTTTACAAAAGTCCTTACGAGTAAAGTACTTAAGACTAAATATTTTAAGTACTCGTACTTAAAATTTTACGAATACTTTTTTTAGTACTCGTGCCCAGCTCTGCTGTTATTGCTGTATATTAATTTTCTCGGGAGAAAAAAAATTAAATGTAAAACGTGCCGAAATGGGAAATGTATCGTCTTTGTGGCAAGGTTTAATATTAAGGGCTTATATAAGTCTGATAATTTTTTAAGGTCATAAACCAAAAATTTAGGGGGCGCTGCTAAAAAAACAAGTTGGTAAATAACGGACACCCTGAAGCCTGATTTATAGATTGCCTTCCTTCCTCCCGTAAAATATGAACAATATGAAAATCGTACTGCCATTTATAGATTCACGTACTTGTTCATCTTTTACGTAAGGAAGGGAGGAAGGAAGGCAATGTATAAATCAGGCTTAATGTGCAATGCTACTAACCTTATAAAATCCAGGGGGACAGTCCCGCATGCACTTCCTTTCGTTGCCAAAACCCATGCTGTAGTTCCGGCAGGCGACGCAAGCGTTGACGTCGTCGGGCGCACAACCGCCGATGCACAGCGAGTTGCAGCATTCGCCCTTTTCGTTGCAAGAGAGACAGTTTTCCGGGCAAATTTTCTGACAGTGCTGCCGATTCCAGCACAAATGCCCGTACGGCACGTCGATGTAAGACGGGTCAGTCGAATTCGGACAAGCTTTGATTTCGTTTCCTTCGTGGTCGTATTCTTTTTTGCCGCCCGGCCCCGGACATATCGGACACTCGTTGTCCGGCTTGATGTTGTAGATGTAATGTTCGCCCTTTTCGTGGCAAATTTTCGCCCAATCGATCGATCGGACGAAACAGAGCGACGGATTTTTGTCGATCCTCACCAAACCTTTCGTTATGTCCTGCAGAGAGTACAAGGAAATTTCCTGCAGATGCGACATCTCGAATATAACGAACGCGTACTCGTGCAAGAACAAATTCTCCCCTCGGATTACGGCCAGGTTCGGGAACAGCTGCCCAACGCTTCTGAGACCGTTCACGCGATACAGGAGCAAGTAATCGGTGATTTCCGTCAAATCCGGAAACGACAGCTCGGCCAGCTTCGTTTCGTTCACGTTGTCGAAGAGGAGGACCTGCACGAAGCCCTCGACCACGCGACATCCTTCCAACCTTTTGAACGTGTCCAACGTATTTCGGATGTCCATGCTTTTACATACTGAAACAAAACAAACGATCATCAGCATCTTTTAGTTCCAACCTTACTTCCTAACGGACCGCGGTCTAACAGTCCCCTCCGAAGGACTTATAAATACACAATTTTAGAATTTCAAAAACAAATGTTTGAATTTTATGTCAAGTCATATGTATTGTACATTTTGGCAACATGGCAACAGATATTATCGGTTTCATACGGATACAGGCAACTTCAAATACACATTTAGCAACATTGGACGGAATGATAATAGATGGCGATACCTACTAAAGACAGTTGTTGCGCATGACTTTCACTTCTGTCGAAAACCAAATCAATGTCAAAACAAACCCATATTTAATAATGTAAAACGAATTTAACGATAAAGTCATATTTAAGAATGACAAAAACACCTTTACAATTAAGAGTGTAGGTAAATAGACATCGGTGGAATATTTAAAAGCATATTTGTTGGGTTATCATTATTAATTCAAATAACATTTTGTTACGTTTTTTATGTAATTTTATTATTGAAAATTGCCAATATTATATTTGTAGTTTCATGTACCTATGCCATGTAGTTGCAGTTATATTACATCTGGCACTGATCATATCATTACATACCTATGCAAGTTGTAAATGGCAAATGGCATTTTGTGTACATTAATACAAAAGATACATATTTTTAAAGCGCATGCACTCGATATTAAAGTTTTATCAAATATGAAAACGATGGGGATGTTAAATATCTACCTTTCCGTTTGTTTTTATTAATTAAAAAATAAGAGGATTTTCTGGAAAGTTCAACGACTCTGGAAATTAATAATCGATGGGGTAAATTTTATATGAATGCCTTATTTGCATAAAAAAGTAACGCTGAATAAAACTTGGTGTACGATATTTTACATTTATTGGGGTTTATTTGGACATATAGGTAAATTGTATTTTGTAGAAAAAGAACTGCATTTTTCTAGGTAAATAGTGTTTATGCGTACAAGCAGGACAATTTAAAAATAAATTGTCTACCTATACGTCACAGAGGAAAAAGAGGATTTATTGGGATTAAAGTGAGTAAGGTAATTGTAATTTTTACATTGAATTTTAATATTGATTTCTTTTTTTATTTTAGAAGTTCATAACATATAAAGTTATCAATTACAATAAGTTCTTGATGTTTAATAAAACAATTCTTGATAGCCTTATCGTAATTATATTTGTCTCATATAACACGTATAAAGGTATTTTTTCTAGAGAGTTTGCATGAACACGAGATTTTCCTCCTGGGGCTGTAGAGTTTCAGAGGTCCTTTGACGTGGCCTTGAACAACTCCAAGCAATGTGCCAGAAATCAAAGAATAGCCTTATTTTAAAAAACAAATTAAAAAACTTTTCTTTTATTTTTTTCCAATTTTTATTACTTAATATATTTTTTAATTATAATTAAAAAATTTAAATAAATTTTTTTTTATTGTTTTCTGTAATATACAGTGTGACCCATTTGTTTGCGACTCACCCCTGTAAAATCTTTATTTATTGTGCGATTTTAACCGGATTTGTTTAAAAGTGTATTTATTCTGTCAAGTTATCCATATAAAAAAACATTAAAATAAAATTAAACTTATAGGTACTAATAGTACCATGTTACTATTAGTTTAATTTTATTTCAATGTTTTTTTCATGGATAACTTGACAAAATAAATTTTTGTGCATTTTTCTACTGCATTTTTAAATAAAATTTAGTATAGGGTCGTTTTGAGGGGTGGTGAATCCAGTGCCGTGCTTAGATTTTGTTTAAAAAAATCGCCAATATGAATTCTTAAAAATTTACTGTTAAAAACTGACATAGTAGGCCTTGTATTTTGTAAAAATATGGCGTTTTTTGCTTCAAAAATACAGTTTATCCAGATCTACACTTTAAAACAAATCCGGTTAAAATAGCACAATAAATAAAGATTTTACAGGGGTGAGTCCCAAACAATTGGGTCACATTGTATATAAAATAATAAAAACGAATAGATTTTAATGCAAACGAGAAATAGTATATTATGTATCAAGTTTGATAAACGCCATTTTATACATGAATTTAATTTAGGCAGGAGCGAGCTTGCGAGCGAGTGCTTAAATTAATGAGTGTATAGAAAAGTTTATAAACGAGGTGCATACTATACTTTTTCTACGACAAATACTTATTATTATCTTAAAATGATTTAAACCAAAAATTTGTATAGAGCGCCATCTATGAAACAATAGGGGAATCTGTGTGTCACCGTCAAATGTCAATTTTTTTATTTTATAAACAGATTATAAAGGTTATAAAATGAATTGTATTTCTTGAAAATTGACAGTTTTTCACAGAGAAAGTAAAGAAAATGTTTTATGAGCCCTTTACAGTGGAGTCCGTGCCCGAATTTAAGTTATAGTTTACTGCCGGCGAAATTAAAAGGTCAGTACAATGTTCATATAAACTTTTTAAATATTGGCGTTGAGAAACTATGTAATACTTTTGTATTTTTGTATTGAGATAATAAAATAATTTTCACATTTAGTATTGTTTTACGCTCTCCACTAGCCTAAACTGGGCGTATGGCCCGACCCGGCGACAAAAATCCGGGAGTGGATATACCTTAATAACTTAATTGAAATCGATTTTTTTAATTTAAAACGCAAAATTTCGTTTTCTGGTTGAACCTGAACTGATTGTTAAGGGGGTATACCGATATAATAATAATAAAATTGCAAGATTATAGTTGGGGTGGTACCTAAATATTTGTACGATTATTGTGTTCGGCTGACGCCTAATACGGAATCCTGTGGCTCAAATGGAAAGCAGGGTTGCAGGTTTCATGAGAAGCCGCCGGTTAAAAATGAGAACCACGTCTTCGAACAATGAAGAAAGGAAGAAGGAAGTGGTAGCGCGGGAAAAGGCTGCGTTGAGAGAAAACAACAACGACCGAGAAGAAGAAGAATGTCGTTTAAAAGTTCGGAATTTGCGAGACATGGCATCGCGATGCACAACACGCCAGAGTCGGGTCACCATACCGGTATAAACGAGGTTTATACTCGAAATTTTTCTAAATTATAAATTTATTAAACATTTTAATAAAACATTATTATACGAGATACTCCAATAAGTAGATAATTGAATGACTTTCGAAAATAAATAAATAAAATCTGACATCTGTCACTTTATACCAATTATAGTCGCCTTCTCCGAACTTAAAACATGATTGGTCCAAATTACCTTATATAATAAAATCGCCAATTACTGATGCCTAACAACTGAAATAATGCGTTTATTTTTCCCGTTGTTAGGCAAGGCGGTTGTAATAAAAATAAAACTAAATTAAATTTCATCCATTCACAAATATATTTCAAAAAAAAAATTCCTATTATTATTTATGTTTACTAAAAAACGAAATTTGACAACAATGGAGTTGATTCGCGTTTGCCGTACTTCACCGTGTTAAGGTTAGTGGCCATTTGAAGGACACTGATGTTATTCAAGACGGAGCGAGCTTGGTCGAAAAAGCATCAAATCCGTTGTTTAAATTTGACGTTACCGTAGCGGATTTGTGCAACTTTATTTATTCACTTTTGTTACCTTATTTTGGTTTACTTCAATTTAAAAATGTTTATACAAACTTTAAATAGTTGTTGTTATAACATTTTAAAATGTACCTAGGTACTATACTTTGGCCAATAAGTTTTGATATTTTTAATAAGTTGACATTCTAAATTGTGTTTTTGACATAATTTTTATAATATGCTTTGAACTGTTTTAATATTTTAAGACAAAAAATACTTGCTGTACTATGAATAAAATGTTGTAGGTACTTATGTGTAGGTATAAAAACATATTAACATACAAGTAGTATAATATACTTACGTATATACAACTATACTACAAATTAAAAATAATTATTGCTTTTTTTTTGTAGATAATGTGTAATTTTAAAGGCAATGACCTCATGAGAATATTTAAAGACAGTTCACCGCCATAGATGATTAATTAACCACAACGTACCGATTCAGGAAAAACTAAAAATAATTAAAATCTTAAATTGAATAGTTAATATTAAATTAAAAATTAAATAAGTCAGTTAAAATGTATCTTAAAAAGAACACATTTTTAAATTTGATTTAACACAATTGTGAACTTAAATAAAAATTGTATGATAGTGACTTCCTAATATCCGCTTTAAGATACCTATACAGCAAAGGATTATTAATAATAATATTAATTAATACCTAATAATTTGTTATGAATAAGTATTTCATTATTAATCCTATAGGATATTTTTTAATATTATTTAAAAAAAATTAATACGTGTTAAAATATTTATAATAATTAATAAATTCAACTAAAACTTATGAGATCTGTGGGTACGAAAATCTTGAGTGCGTAGACAATGCCTTGGTTAGGTACAAGCGCTCGCGATTTAGCCATGCAGCGCGATAAATGAAAATTCATAACTTTTACCTATGTGCGTATACGCAGCTAATTTTTTGTGTACTTATAAAGTAAAGTGAACAACCTCATGTCTATCTGCCTATATAAATTTTTTTCTCTTAATTTTACCAATGTGTATTTAAAACGTTATAAATTTTAATTTTAATTTTTTTATTCAAATAAGAATTTTTATATATGTAGATTAAGGTGTACTTTAAACTTATTTAAATAAAATATATACATTTTTTTGTTCGAAAAAAAAATAGTTTGTTAAATGTGTGCGTAATTTTTAGCCGATTTTACTGTTTTAAAAACATTCTACTTTGAGGTGTCATAAAATCAAATCATAATTATTTAAAAATAATTCTTTACCAAAATTTTTTGTTTTTAGATGTTTTTAACAATATATCATAAAAATACCCATAATAAAAAGTTTTTAAAAATGTATTTTTTCCGCCGATGAACCTAGTGCGCCGAATGCTAAAGCTAGGTTTACACTTTGTCAATTAAAAATTATCGACTTAGGTACATTTAAATGACTCTTTAAAAATTTAAACCGAAAATTTTGTAGAATAAAATATTTATACTCAAATTTTTAAAAATCAATATTTTTAAGCTTAAAGTTTTACAGTTGTATTTTATATTTAAAAAATTGTTTGACAATCAATTGTTTTAGAGCTAAAAAAAAATTATGTTAAAGTGCTAAACTATTATCTAATAAATGCTAAAACGGCGTGCCATACTTTTATATATTCTAAATTATGTTTTTGGCGTCCTAAAATAAGTTTTTAATGTAATTTTTAAAATTCAATAATAGTATATTAAAGAACTAATGTCATAAGACGTCATTTTGTCGCACGCGGACAATTTGGTCTTATGACATGAGTTCTTTATGCTATTTTATCTATTTTGCAAAAATTCTACAAAAAAAAAAAATTTTATACCTTAAATTTAATTTGGTCGAATTTTACTTTAGATAGTTGGTATCACGGTCTTTGGTTTGACAGTTAATGTCAAAATCGATTCGCCATGCCGTCCTTAATTTACTTATTTACAATAAGCAGCTGTTAATGTTAAAGAAGAATAAAAGGATTTTCTTTGGTGTTAAACAAAATTTATTGCCAGAAAAGTCTCGTAAGTACTAGAAAAATCATAAAAATATTATAACCAATATGCAAAATATTATGCTGTTTAAAGTATAGCTAACCTATAAGTTCAAAATTTTGGGTGAGATAAAGTATCTAATTACAGCACCGAAAGCACACTGATAAAAAAAGGCAAGAGGCAAAAGAATCCATTCATTTGAAAATTATTCTTTTAGTTTAAAGAAAGTTAACTTTTTGCAAATTCTTTGGCATTTGGCTAAAATCTTTTTAATAACTTTATTTCAAGAACAAAGCATTTGTCGGAAATCACTCGGTTATTTGATAGTTCTTGCAACAAGAAGGTGTTCATTTCGCGCGAATAAATAACTAGTGTTATACTTTTTCTATGGTTATAAATCAAGATTATTTGTACCATAGTGTTATAGATCGAGATTATGGGTAACATTATTCATTTATTTCCAAAATTTGAAGGTAAGTTGGTGTTTTTTATAAGCTTTTCCAACGTTTAATTTTATGGGTAATGTATTCTTACTTTTAAAATTTTAATTAATTAGGAATCTAATAAAGATAAATACCTAATTAATAAGCTAAAATCGACTAAAATATAATTATTTCATGCAAATATAATCATTCTGTAAATAGCTTTCTTAGAACAGGAAAATAAAAATGGTTACCTATACCTTCTCCCAAAGATTACATTAATTTTGTAAGAAAATAATGCGGTATTTGTCATTCGTGCATTTCACCCAAAACCTACATGTCAGCAAGTCATCCATATATGTAGGTTTTGGCTCAAATGCACGGGGATTAATTCAATATTAGGAAATTAGTCTTTGGGAGGAAAATATATCCTTATTTCTTGACAGAATCTGATATCTGATATCCAGAGGCGGATTTCTAAATAGGCTAGCTAGGCCCATAGCTGCAAATTTTCAAAGGTGGAAATGTCTTTGAGTGTAAGATTAATCTGTTTTTTGTATTTTGTATAAACAATGTATTTTATGTTTATAACTGTATGAACAATGTCTTTTATATGTTTAATAAATAAATGTTTTTAGTAAAAATTATTGTAGTTTTTTTAATTTACGCGGGCAATTTTTTCAAAATCAAAGAGTTTCAGCTTAAGAAATTCGGGCTTTGGTTCAAATGAGCAAAAAATGCGAGTTTTGATACAAATAACAAAACTTTTTAATCAAACGCTAATGGATTTAAAATAAAAAACCCCAATAGATTTAAATCCAGACATCCGACTTTTGCTATTACAAAGTTTTTAAGAACAAGAACCTAAGATTTTGTTGTAAACCCGCTTTTCTTTATTTCAAATTACTCCAGCCTTTAATCCAAATCACAATGAGGAAAAAGAATATTTTTAACAAACGTTGCAATTGTTTGAGCCTGATTGCTTTGAATCAAACAACTGAAATTTAATTCAAAATTAGTGCTTTTGCTTAGAATAGGTGAACTGCTTTGCCAGAAATGGATGAGTGGTTTAGGATGCTGTGTTTGCTTGGATTATTTTTAAATTCTATGCAAACTTTGTACTGATAGTCAATAATATTAGGTTTTTTACGTTTGAATTAAATTTAGGTGGGTTTTTTATAAAACGTGCAATATTTTCAATTCAAATTTATTAATGGGTTAACTGAAATGGATAAAACTTAAAATAAATCTGCTACAATTTTTGCGAAAAGCTCAGCATTTGCAACAAATATAATAAGTTTGTGGCAAACATATCAAAGTTAATGGGCAATTGTGCTTAGTTTTGAAAGTGCAATTTTTGTGGGGGAACGCCTCTTGAAACGCGTCTTCTCTTGCACTTACAGTGTCTTATAAAGTTTTAAATTTGCCTCGACTGTATACATACGGTTATTACAAAATAATTTTGCTTCCATGAAAACATTTGGATGAAATGGCATAACGTTTAAGAATATTGTATAAATAATCGGACTTATCACAAAGTGGCCTAACCCACAAAATTGAAAACAGTGACATTTTGCGAGTTAACTTACGATGGTCTATTCTATTACTCCACGATGTGGCCTATAGTACAAAGTCTGTACTGTAAAAATACATAGGCCATTTCGTGAGAATAGACTAGACCATCGTAAATTCTGCGAAAAATCTCATTTTGTTTTTCAATTTTGTGGGTTAGGCCACTTCGTGATAAGGCCGACGATTTATACAATATTCTTAAGCATTATGGCGTTTCATCCAAAGAAACCGTAATTTCTTCAGAAATGCAGGTACGTTTAATGGAAATGAACTTTATTGGTAACAAGCAAACCAATTTTTCCTAAAGTTACTTGCCAAGAAATTCAAAATTAGTAAGTTTGAGGCACACTTACATCGATTTATAAAAAATCGACTATACTGGTAGCAAGCAATTACCAATTTATCCGAAAATTTTTCAACAAAGAATTCAAATTCAGCAAATTTGACACAAATCTACATGCGTTTCGTTCGAAAGCAGTTTTCCGAAAGCTCCAAAGTGATGGTTTTTTGCCATTAAACCTTGGTACATTCCGCCGTATTTAAATATGTCATACGTTTGAAATAAAACCTTCTCTCAGTGCAGTACCGAGTTTTTAATAAAAGCACGGCATTTAAGGACCTATAATGAAGATCTTCTTCTAAATTCATGTTTCTTTGCAACAAAGACAAATCATGAAATGATCTCAAAGAAATTTTGCTTTAAACCCTTCATGCATTTGGACCTATTCCTTTGAGGGAATGGCAGATTTCCTTGGGGCAAAGGTTTCTTTTTTTCAGTGCGGTGTTATAATGAAGTCATTATGAACGCAAAATAAAGGGTGTCCAAATTCGACCTTCCGATTTAATTTAATAATAAAAAACAAAAAACTATTGATATATTACTATTTTATGATTTTATTTTTAAATTTAAATGTTGCGGTTAATAATGAAAAATGATATCCGGCAAGTGACCCCCTCTACTTCTTTGGCATGCTAACATTCTTTTTCCAAAATGTTCGATAACCTTTTCGCAGATATTCTGTTCAATTTCTAAAATTTGTTGAATAATGTTAACTCGAAGCTGTTCAGGTGTTTGAGGATTGTTAGCATAAACTCTTTCCTTCAAAAAGCCCCACAAGAAATAATCTAAAGATGTGAGGTCGCACGACCTAGGCGGCCAATTAAATTCAGCTCTTCGAGAAATTATTCTATTGCCAAATCTCCCCCTCAAAAGATTCAATGTTTCATCCGATGTATGGCAAGTGGCACCATCTTGCTGGAACCAAATGTTCTGGACATCCATATTTTCTAATTCGTTCTACAAATAGTCTCTTATCATTGCCCTGTATCGAGCTCCATTCACAGTAATTGCATTACCAGCTTCATTCTGGAAAAAATAAGGACCAATAACGCCACCTGACTTTTACAGGATGCAGTCCTTTTTCCAGTATTACTCTTGGATTTTCCTCGCCCCATATTCTGCAATTCTGTTTGTTTACGAATCCACCAATTTCGAAATGAGCTTCGTCGCTAAAGATAATGTTTTGGAAAAAATCGTTATTTTCTTGCCTTTTTTCTAAGGCCCAATTAACAAATATTCGACGTGCTAAATGATCGTTTGGTTTTAACTCTTGAGTCAACTGTACCTTATAAGCTTTTAAATGAAGGTATTTCTTTAAAATGTTATGCAGACTTGATCTTTTAATGTTGACTTGCTGTGAACGTTTTCGAACTGACATTTTCGGGCTTTCACCAATACTAGCCCTTACCGCAGCAATGTTTTCTTCTGATCGGACACCTCGAATGTAACCACTACTCCTGTTAACTTCTACTGACCCAGTCTGTTGAAATTTCTTAATAAAATTCTCAATAACTTTAACAGAAGGTGCTAAATTTCTTCCGAAATGCGTACGACATCTTCTTGCAGTTTCAGCAAAACTTTCTCCATTTTGGTAATAAGTTTTTAAAATAAAAACGCGTTCTTCGATGGACAGTTGCTCCATGTTGACCAAGAAACTACTAACCGCAAAGTTTTTATTTGACATAATATGTCACTACAGAAAAACTGTCAATGAAGATTACTAGATATGGCAGTCAATTTAAATCGGAAGGTCAAATTTGGACATAGAGATAAAATAGATTACTTACTTCCGCTTTGATTGTTTGGCAGCGTGGAATTGGAGACGGACAGCTGTTGGGCGCGGGCGTAGGCCTGAAGGCCGGGCGGCACGAAGGCCGCCAAGACGGCCAGATAAAGGACGAAGGACCTCTTGACGGAAAAAAGAACGCGCTGCTGCAGCCTGAAGCGTCGCTTGGCCGCCGCGGTGGCCGCTTCAGAGGGCGCGCGCCTCGGTGGAGGAACTTCGCAAGCGGAACTTGTCGGAAACTTGTCGGCCATCGGTTCGCACTGCACCTGCACCTGCACATGGAAGTTTCAGACCGCCGCACCGACCGTGAGCGCCCGACGCGATTTTCCCGCCATAAAATTAAACACCTTCGCTACACGCCCACGGCGATGACAATGATGAGGATGATGAGGACGATCCTGTTTTCGCACGACGCTATTCGATCTTAAAGCCATGTCCAAATCGTATCTAAAACAACAACACACGCTTAAATTTCAATTCTTTACACAAAAATATTTATTTTTCATGATCGAGCGATGCCAAAATGGCGCCTCTACAGCTTATTTTTTGTCGCCACCAGTGTTGTTCCCAGCGGAAAAAAAAGCGTAACAGATTTTACAGAAAAAAGTAATAGATCCTTATAAAATGTAATAGATCGCCATTTTTTAACTACCTATAGTAGGGTGTCCCGAAAAAAAGAATATTTTTTTTCTTCTCGTCTCTTGTGAAAATATGTTGGTTTGTCATGTTTTAAGAGCCCTGTCAAAAGATCAGCACCATAAAAAAATTTTTAGGGGTCGCTCAAGATTTTTAAAAATTACCAAAATCGTCAAAAATTGGATTTTTTTTTATTTTAATTTTTTTTCTCGTACCGATATTATTTTTTAATTTAAAAATAATAAAGATTCTGAAAATTTCAAATCGATATTTTAATTTCTAAAGGTCGCTCAAGATTTTTTTAACTTTCAAAGTAGAGTATTTTGAATGTTTTCGAGCGACCTCTGAATATAAATATCAACGAACTTTTAGCGACCTTTAGAAATCAAAATATTGATTTGAAATTTACAGAATTTTTATTATTTTCAACCTAAAAAATAATATCGAGACGAGAAAAAGAATTAAAATAAAACAAAAATTCAATTTTTGACGATTTTGAAAATTTTTAAATATCTTGAGCGACCCCTACAAAATTTTTAATCGAGCTGATATTTTGAAAGGGCTCTTACAGCATGATAAACTAACATATTTTTACAAGAGACAAGAAAAAAAAATATATTCTTTTTTTTTGGGACACCCTAACCTATAGTTATAAAAACGATGTGGTTCCCGTCCCGCGGGACCAGCCCAACACTTTTTAAAAAAGGAACAACAAATTTATAAAATAAAAAATGTTCGACAACTTCTAGTAGAATCGAACCCGGTACCTCTCGCAACTAACTTCTAGCCGGTGCCCCAACATCGATCCCGACTGGACAAAGAATTTATTATATATTATACAATGCATCATTATCATTTAAAATTGACGGCACAACAATAATATAATAATAAATTGTACCTGTATACATGTTAAGGGCACGTTAGTTACGTAATAAAACCAAACCAACCCAAACTCAACAACACAACCCAACCGACCCCGCCCCATTGCCCCCCCCCCCCGCCCCATTGAGCAAAAAACCCAACTAAAATGGGCAAATTTATGTTACGATAAAAATAAAACACTTTTTAACAAAGGAACAACAAATTTATGAAATAAAAAAGTAAAAAAAAATTGACAACTTCTGAGTATCGAACCCGGGACCTCTCGCATGCAAAGCAAACGCCCTACCATCTAAGCTATCTAGCTTGACAACAAATTTTGTATGTTCGGGGAACAAAACCGGATTATTATTATGACGTCACGTTATAAGGCGGTTCGTGCCAGCTCGTGAGAAGTCGGGATCGATGTTGGGTCACCGACTAGAAGTTTCTCCTCTCGCATGCCAAGCGACCGCCCTACCATCTGAGCCATCCAGCTTAACATCAATTTTAAACGTTCGGGGAATAAAAACGCGTTTTTATTCCCCGAACGTTTAAAATTGATGTTAAGCTGGATGGCTCAGATGGTAGGGCGGTCGCTTGGCATGCGAGAGGTACCGGGTTCGATTCTACTAGAAGTTGTCGAACATTTTTTATTTTATAAATTTGTTGTTCCTTTTTTAAAAAGTGTTGGGCTGGTTGGGTAGGGTTGGGTTGGTTTGTTTTAGTTTTATCGTAATATAACAAATCCTAAAATTATGACGTCACTCGGGACTGAACTTAGATTTTGTTTAAAAAAATCGCTAATATAAATTCTTAAAAATTTACTCTTTAAAACTGACAAAGTATGCCTTGTATTTTGTACAAATATGGCGTTTTTTGCTTCAAAAATACAGTTTATCAAGATCTACACTTTGAAACAAATCCGTTTAAAATCCCACAATAAATAAAGATTTTACAGGGGTGAGTCGCAAACAAATGGGTCACACTGTATATATAATTATTGTTAAAAAAAAACGGACAAATCTTGAAAATGTAATAGATTTATTAATTTTGTAATGACGTAATAGATTTTTGGCCGGATCTATTACAAATGTAATAGACGGAACAACACTGGTCGCCACTAGTGGATTAAACTCTTTAATTGTCTTTAGGTTGGTAAGACTGAATTTTTGTTTATGCGTTAACTTAACTATGCTCCGCTTAAAGGTGTATAAAAACGCGTAAATATTAACGATTTTAACTTAAAACAATTGATAGTCAAAAAAATATTTTAAATACAAAATGCAACTGTAAAACTTTACGCTTAAAAATATCAATTTAAAAAAAATTTAGTACAAATCAATTTAAATTTGTTAAAAATAAAAGTTATTGGTTTAAATTTGTAAAGAGTCGTTTAAATGATGGTCGATAAATTACCACTTTAAAATTTAAAACTAACTTTTAAATGTAAGGTGAGAATTTTTGTATTAAAAATTTATCGACTATCATTTAAATGACTCTTTACAAATTTAAACCGATAATTTTGTAGAATAAAATATTTGTACTAAAATCAATATTTTTAAGCGTAACTTTTACAGTTGCATTTTATATTTAAAATATTTTTGATTATCAATTGTTTTGAGTTTAAAAAAATTTACTTTTTAAACTATTTTGGTAGAAAATGAAAATATGTGTTTTACTTTTAAATGTGTCGACACTATTTTCAAATACTAAAAAAATTAACTTTACCAATTTAATCTAACTGATTTTATTAAATATTTATATAACTCTGCCCAATAAATTATACTTAAGAAATTATTTTTATTAAAAAATGATGGTTAGACATTTTTGCAAAAATTGATTGGAAATAATTTTGTTTAATACAGAAGTGAACTGTTGGTTAATAAATTTTGTCTTTCAATACATGATAGTTGAAAATATTTCAAATTTATAAATATATACGAGGTGTGTTCAGAAAATATCGGAAATTTGAAACAAATATTTATTTATTCATCTACATTAATGTTGTCGCCTTCAAAATAGTCCCCATTGGATATTATGCACATGTGCCAGCTCTTCTTCGAATACTCGAAACACTTCTATAACTCGATCTTTGGGATAGCCTTTAGTTCTTTCAGCGATGCGCTTTTAATGTCATCTATCCTTGCAAAACGACGGCCCTTTAAGGTTCTCTTTATTTTTGGGAATAGGAAAAAGTCAGACAGAGGCATGTCTGGCGAATATGGAGGCTGGGGCATCATTACAGTATTGTTTTTGGCCAAAAATTTTGTTCAAAATTCAACAATTTTAGAACAAATTTTGCTGCCACGCGTTTCATACCCAAAACATTCTAAAAAATTTTATGGGATGAGCCAATCGATATACCAACATCATCAGCGACTTCTCTGATGGTTTATAACCATTTCTTCCACTTTTTCCATGTTTTTATCGGTTGTTAATGTGCTTGTGCGTTCGGGGCGTTCGTCATCTTCAACGTCTTCACGGCCATCTTGGAAACTCTTATACCACTTGTAATTTTTTTTTGTTTTCAGTCAATCTTCTAGTTCTCAACAATGCCAATATTTAGGCTTAAACTAAACTACGAATATCATTGATTTTAATTTTAAATGCATGTTTAAATAATTAAAATCAAAAGGCCTATGTGGTGAGGAGAATTTAAGCTTAAATACTAACAACGCTGGTAGTTTTGGCTATTTCCAGATTCAGGGAATGCGCTAAATGGTTCAAGATAAGTTACTGAAGGTATCTTGAAGATTTTAAAAAAATCCCAGATTCTGGGATTGTTTAGAAATTTGACAACAACGCAAAAAAGAACATTGTCGATAAACAAATATTAAAAATATTTCCCAACACCAAAACTTTTGCCAACTACGTTGGCATCTTCAGAAGCGAAGTGTAACTTTAAAATTTGAAAATATTTTTTTAACAAAGTCTAAAGACTAAAGTTATTTTATAAATTTACAATTGTATTATTCTGTGCTTTTCTGAATCTAATTACAATTGTAAATTATTCAATGTGCGTATCAATAAATTAATTCATTTATAGTTTTGTCGAAATTTAAATCTTAAAAGATGCTTGCAAGTGTCAATATACATACATACATACATACATACATACATATGTACGTAAGTAAATCCCAAATTAACCGTTAAGTCTAGACATATTTCTAGACATACATTATCTAAATATACACCATCAACTCGTATTATAATTTGAAAACAGTTTAAGTCCAATTTTGATAGACTAATAGACTTCTAGAATTTTTATTCATTAAAATATAATTCATTGAACGATAGCAAAAACGAGTTAAAAAATTTGTTCAAATCCGATAACATACATTTGTTGCCCCTAGGTGTAAAAAACAGAAGGTAGGTATATAATTTTAAGCAAAAATAAAAAAAAATAAGATTTGGTAAATTTTTTATAACACGTTAAAGAAAGGTTTGCATCGGATTCTGAGAATTGGGTTGAAATTGGGACCAGGTAAAATTGGTTAAAACTTTTCACTAAAAATAACATGCATTTTGATCAAGAAGTAAATACAGGGGCGGATCCAGAAAAATATTTCGTTTGAGTTTAAAATTCGCAGGACTAGTTATCGATTTTTGGTTATGAAAGATTTTTAATTGTTTTCAAATATTTTAAGAACCTCTGGCGTTTTTTCCAATTTATAAATTTTACTTTAATAGGCTTTTAATTACGCAACTTTTACCTAATGTAACCAACCTTAAAGTTCTTTAATAAAAAAAATACCCATAGAAGTATAATTGGTGCACCCTGTATACAGGGAAATGCGCAATCAGTGTTTACGAACGTTAAAATGCCAAATCTGGAAAAATTTGCATGTAAACCGTAACTATTATTATTATTTTTTAACCATTGGGCTTTTTTTCGTCAAAAATAATTATAAAAATAATAATATTATTAATACATTATTAATAATTAATAA